GGACCCGGGGAGCTGGGTCCTCCGTGCTGTTGGTGACGGGGAGCTGGAGCCAGCGGGGGAGAAGCTCCTGAGCCGCTCACCAAGAGGCAGGGCAGCCTTGGGGATGTGCCTGTGCTCCCTGTGCAGGTGGGGGACGAGCTCCCATCCCAGGGGTGTTTCCTGGCATGGATAGCAGCAGGGTGTGGTGGCCAGTGGCTCTGCTCTCCCGAAGGACCCCATCGCCCTGGGCTCGGCCGGGTTTTGGACAGCCCATCAGGAAGGGGAGAACAGCAGGCACAAGCCCTTTCCAGGATCCCCACTCCATCCCTTCCCCAGCCGCTGCATTCCCAGGGCTGGGTGTGATCCCGGGAGCTGCAGCCATACCTCTAGCAAAGGAAAAGCACAGGGGAGCGAGGGGAACTCCGAGCAGGGGGGACTGGGCAAAAAATGTGAATTTTTCCCTTGTCAAATCTCCTCCCGTTTCCCCATCTCTGGATGATGTCCAGGTTCCTGTGCCGTTAGGGGGTGGGAAGGGGGGATGGATGAAGCTGGAGGAGCAGCAGGCAGGGAGAGCACTGTAGGGGGGCTGTTTTCATCCCGAGCCCCCTGCACGCTGGTCTGGGTTACGTGGTGCAGCGAGGCGAGGGCAGGGAGGGGATTTGCTCTTGCTTTAAACCCATTTGTGCTGTTGGCGTGGTGGGGAGCGGCAGCAGGACCCCACCAGCTCCGCCGTGCACGCTCCAGCGGAGGCAGAGCTCGGGGCAGGGGGGGGCCCACGCCATGCTGCCACACGGTGACTTTTGGGGGTGATACTGGTTGTAAATATGTCACGGTGACTGTAAAGTTTCTGTCCTCTTTTGTCCCCCTTCCCGTGTGAAATAAACCTTTGAAACTATGCGATGCCTCCAAATCCATGCTGAGCAGAGGGATACCGCTTCCATGTACCCTTCCCGAGGGGCTGCCCGAGGTTTGGGGGTGCATCCCCTCGCAGGGCTGTGGCAGCAGGGACCGGCTGAGCGGGCAGGCAGGGAGAAGCTGTGCTCTGGGTGTGCCACGGTGCCAGCCCCAGCCCCACCACATCTCCCTGCACCCCGAAAGGGCAGGCAGAGCCAGGTGCTGCCGGGGGTCCCCGGCAGGCAGGGGTGTCCCTCCCCAGGCCCCCGTGCCCTGCGTGGGAGATTTGTACCCTCCTGGGGGTTTGCCAGCCTAGGGATGCCCCCCCATTCCCCCATAAATTGGGAGTTTGTTGCCAGTGTGAACATTTGCTTGGGAGAGGCAGAGCCCCGTGCCAGGATGATGCCCAGGGCACCCTGTGCACCCACAGCCCCCCGAGCTGCCCTGATCCCTCCCTGGGAGTCCATGCAGAGCCCTCCCCGTGCCATCTCCAGGAGCTGGGAATGTCCCAGCTCCCACACGGAGCCTGTGGGGTCCTGCTGCAGTCCCACGGACTGGTGTGCTGGGGGGCTCCCCTGCTGGGGCCCTCCCTTGGCCTGTTTTGGTTTTGGTACCCAGCAAAGATGAACTCACTAAATAAAGAGAAAAACATGGCTCTTGGCAACCGTTTCCATTTTTGAGCTTCAGACATTGTTTTGGTGGATCTGATGTCTCTTGGGGGGCTGGTCTCTGATCCCTGCAGCCCACCCTGAGCACAAGCAGGTCCTGCATGTCCCCCAGCCCCCCTCCCTGTCCTCATCCTCCTGGGGTACCCTCTGTGGGGAGAGTCCAACACCAGCCCACGAGCTGCTCAGCCCCCCAGGAGCCACCACGTGAGTAACTTTCAGCAGGGAAGCCCTGGGCAGTGGGAGAAGGGGGGCTGTCCTGGGGAATGGGGGGCAGGGAGGCAGGTCTCTGCACGTCCCATGAGCAGGGCTAGTAGCCTCGTCTCTAATGAAGCCAAAGCTGGCTCAGATGGGCTTCCTTGTTTGCCACAGGCCCCTCCCAGGGTGCGTGGTGATGAAGGGTGGTAGGTGCATTGGTACCACCTGCCCCCCAACACACCTGCACTGTATTCCCAAACTGCCCCTCCCTCTGGGTCCTCTTTTCTTTATTAACACTGGGTGTGGATACTTGTTCTACTCTTGGAGCTGCTTTCTCTGGCTGGGTATGAGTTGTGGGGCACTTGGGGGGGATGGATGTGTTTTGGGATACAGCTCTCTCAGACACCACTGTGCTGGGCTGTTCTGCTGGATTGCCCACCCTATGCTGGCAAAGTGCTTGTGGGGCAGTTTGGGGCTTCCAGGTGCCGTAAATGCTTCCCTGAGGCTTTAGCTGTTCTGTGTTGGGAGGGGGCAGCGTGTCCTGTGGTACCTTTCTTAGCGTGCCCTCCTGCTGTGGGGGGGCTGCTCACCCTCTTAGGGCTGGTTTGGTCTGTAAATGCCTTTATCCACCTTTTCCTCTCCCCAAGGGATGTGTAAGTGGTTTGCTGGGTTTATTCTTTGCTTAGCAATGTGGACCTGTCGGGGCGGGGGGGGGCTGGTCCAGTTGCTATCCTGGTGTGAGCTGCACACTGATGTCCTGGCTCTGGGCTTTTGGGACCAGAGGGTTTGTTTTTAGTGCTCCAAAGTCACATTCCTTGTGTGTTTTCCTGCTGCAGAGCAGCTGGACACCGTTTGCTCTGATGTTTGTTCTTCAGGAGCTGGTCCTGCTGCCAGTGTTGGATCTGCTGTGGGGGATGAGCAGTTCTTCTCCCTTCTCCAGGTTGCTGTCATGGGACAGGCCCGTTGCTGCCCTGTGGGGTACGGAGCTGCGTGTCCCGGGCTGGTTTGGTGGGACCTGGTAGCTGGAGCGATTGGGGGGACAGTGGCTATGCCCTGCAGGCACCCAGGCGTGGGTGTACACGGGCTGCATTTCCCCCTTTCTCGTGGTGTGTGCGCCCTTCACTTTGGTTTTGGCTAGCCCGAGGCTGGCGCAGGGCGAGCAGCAGATGCCTGCACTGATGCTGTGTCCTGCAGGCTGCCAGCTGAGCACGGATGCCTCGAGCTACGTGGTGAAGGAGGAGGATGACTTCTTGGAGCACCTGGTCCTGCTGAGAACGGTGAGCTCCGGGGCTTGCCAAAGAGCCTGTGCCCCAACAGCGGGGCCGGCTGACAGCCAGACTCCTTGCCACGGGGTTTCTGCTTGGCTCCACAGATCTGCCTGGGGGCCGAGGCCGGGGATGAGCTGCATGTGGTGGCCGTTGATTCCAAAAACACCTATGGAGACCATAAGCCGGTGACCATCGCGGCGTTGCGGGCCTCAGTGCTCCCCATGGTAAGGGCAGCCCAACGCCTGGTGTGCAGCCACTGGCTGCAGGGCAGTGATTCCACCCCGTGAGCCATGGCTGAAGGTCTGGGCAACGCTGGGGGCTCCTTCCCGCTCTGGCCATGTCCATCCGGCTGCCTGCCAACCCCTCCCTGCTGCAGAGCAGTTGCTTCTCCTGTGACGGTGCTGCAGGGGTTAACATGGGCTGCGCTGAGCTCAGACTCTTTGCAGATCAGCCTCAAAGGTCTGGAGCTGGTCCCTCCTGTCACCTTCATCCTCAAGTCTGGCGCCGGACCGGTCCATCTCAGCGGGCAGCACATCACCCGTGAGTGCAGCAGGCTGGAGGGTCAGGGTGAGCGTGGGGGCTGGGGGCTGTGCTGGGGATGCTCCAGGGCCCCGTGGTGGCAGCTGGTGCCCTCAACGGGGCTGCTTTGCCCCAGGGATGGAGGGATTGCTGGTTTGGCGGGCGGGGAGGAGTGTAGTGCTTGTCTGCATTCGTGGGCTTTGACACAGTCTGGGCTGGCTCTCCGCTGCCTTGGCTGCAGCGTGGGTTGGTGTCTGTGTTCCCACTCCCATTGTGGCATGGGATCACTGGTGGTGTGGTCAGGGCCACCCCCTCCCACTGCAGCCCTGCATCTCCTTTCCTCAGTGGAAGAGGATGCCAAGTCTGAAGCCTACGAGGAAGAGATCTGGGAGGAAGACCTGGATGATGACGATGACGAGGATGCTACGACGCTATAGAACTGCTGCAGCTCGGCAAAGACTGGAGCTGGTGTGCCGGTGGGGATGCCCTGTGCCAGGATGATCCCTGAATGGGATGGATCCTTCCAGGGGGCCACAAATTGTCTCCTCTCCCTGCCCCCTCCATTCCTACTGTGCTCCCCGAAATGCTCTTTTTGGCCCCTTTATTCCAATAACAATGGGAAAGTGCAAATACCCCGGCGTTGGTCTGGATTGTGTTCTGGTGCTCGCACGCCAGCCTGCTCTCGCCTGCTGCCTCCTTTGGGAAGACACCCCACGTGTGCAATTATGGTGATGCTGTGGGTTGTGCTGCCAACCCATGGGTCTCGGGGGGGCAGTGGTGATGTGGGGACCCTGGGGAGCTGCTGCCCTACCCCCTGCCAGCGGCTCAGGGTGTCTGTAGTAGGGAGGCTGCACCAGGCTCGGGGCTCGTGTGTCCACATAAACTCAGCCACCTCTTCAGGGGGAGGACGTGATGCTCTGAGGCCAAGGTGCTCGTGCTCCCCCCCAGCACAGCCCTGTCACTAATTATCCTGCGTGCTCCCTTCTAATGGTCCTCCTGTTCCAGTAGGAATCACTCTGACCATCGCCTCTTTGGCTCAACAGGACACAGTTGTGTTGCCATCTTCGTGGCAGCCTGGGAAACGCAGCCAAAAGCTGCCCAGAACAAGCAGCCACTGTAATAACATAATTAAAACTCCTAATTGAAAAAATTGCCCAAATCCATTACACATATGATATTATCTGGCAGCGAGGTTGACCTGAAAGGGGAGCCCTGAATCTGTGGGTGGGGTGGGCTGGGAAGGGAGCACAAAGGTCCTTTTTTTTTTTTATTTATTTTTCCCACTTAGAATAGAAAAAGCCACAGAGAGGAGCTGAGAGGGGAGGGGAGATTGCTGTCATCATGCCGTAATGGCTTGGGAGAGGCTGGAGATGGGCCTGGGTGAAGCCAGCTGCCTGCCTGCCGGCGTGAGCTGGCCTGGGCTCGGGATAACCAGGGGATGGGATTGCCGGAGCCATCACCTGCAGCCTTCGCCCTGGAAAAGGGTTTCTCGGGCATCAGCTCCCAAAAGGCAAGTGTGAGCCCCTTCCCTGCGCGTGGGTTTGGGGTGTGCCCTGGGAGGGGGAGCAGAAAGCGGCTGCTTTGGGGAGCTGGGGGATCAGAGCAAAACTATAATGAGCAATTAACTCCTCCAGCTTTCCTTTGCCCTTGCCTTCTTCCTAGCACACACGACTCTGTGCTGCTTGTGGAGAGAGGATGAGAGCCACAACCGCTGCACTTCTTAGGGAAATGGGAGATCCTGGCTTATTTTCCCCACCAGGATCAGCTCCAGGACCTGCCAACAGAGGAGCCAGTCAGTGTGACCAGGCATTGCCCTGGGGGTGAGGGTTCTCCTTCACACCCCGCTGCCGGGGCGGCTCGGTGGAAGGTGCTTCGTGGGGGCTGGAGCATCCTGCGTAGAGGGATGCAGCCCTCCCTGCCACTGCCAGTCCCGGAGGCGATCCATGGGTGCTGGCAGGGGAGCTGGCTGCGGAGGAGCAGGAATAAAGGATGGTAAATTAATTGCTCCTCTTTCTTCGGGCAGGAATGAAATGAGCGGGGGCTTGGGAAGCTTGCTGAGTGCTCAGCCTGAGCCGGCAGCCACATTACGACATCTCGCCAGGGGCAGATTAAGCCCTATAAAGAAATCTGGGAAGAAACACGAAGCAGATTAGGGTCAGTGCCAGTGCCTTGGCACAGTGGCCTCTGTGGCTCCTGGTGTGTGTCGGGGTAGTAAAGTGCATGAGCGGCCGCTGACATCCCGAGAGCGGCTAACTCCCTGCCCCGTGCTGGAGCCCACGCTGCAGGATGGCGAGCACAGCCCTGGCTGAGGATGCAGTGTGGGGCCCTGGGCACCATGGCCAGAGCCTGCATAGCCCCAGCTGCAGGAGGGGTGCGTTCTTTGGGGGAGCTGCCCTCGTACCCCTTCCCACTGGCCATGGTGCACCCACGCTGTCCTGCATCCTGTGTGCCATCTCCTGGGGCTTTAGCATAACCATGGCAACTGCCAGGTAATTAACAGATGAGTCTCAATGTCATGGAGACAAGCCAGGTACAAACAGGGTGCTGGGCTGGGCACGGAGGGCCTTGCACAGGATGCCACCCCTGGGCATGCCGTGAGGTGCTGTGCCCACCTAGTCGGCACCAAAATGGGCTCTTTGACCCCATGGCGAGGATGGCCCCTTGTCACCCCACTGCCAGTATCCCCTGGCACAAAGAGGCACCGCGTGGCATCCGCAGCAGGATGGATGCACAAACGCTGGGCTTAAGGACCTTCTTTGTGGAATAGCTGAGAAGCGTTTTGGCAGGGAAGGGGGATGCAAGAAGATGCAACTTGCCCCAGTTGAAATTGTTTTGCCCTGGTCCTGGTCTTCTCTGTGAGGGACAGATCCAGCCCCGCTCTGGGAGCTGAGGGGTTCATCGTGGGCAGAAAGGGTGCGTGGTCAGGCAGGGACGACTTCATTCTTTGCTGCGGGTGCTTTGTTTGGAAAAGTGGGCCTGGGGGTGCGTGTGGGGTGAGGATGTATCTTGGGAGGAGGCTTCTGCGCATGGTAATTTATTTATGAGGGGGGGAATTTTTACCTGCCGATGCTCCACTGGCAAAATCCCTCCCTGAGCAGAGCAAAGAGCGGCACGGGGCTGTGACGGGAGGCGGGCACGCGGCTTCGGATTCAGCGGCAAATGTTTGATAAGAGGGACTTTATTCCAAAATGCCTCTTCTGTCTCCAAGTGCATCCTTGGAGGTGGGGTGCCTTGCAAACACGCGGGGTGAGGCAGGCAGGGTGCCTTCAAGTTGGTCTAAAAACCCTGGTTAATGCAAAATTGGACTGTGGAGATTTTGGGGGGGGGCTGCTGAGACACATTACGAAGCTGTGGCTGGGTGCAGCTCCCCACTGGGCTCCCCAGGGGACTTCCAAAACCCGACGAGTGGGTTGTAGTTCTTACTAGATCTGGTACGTGAGGGCTTAAGGGTGAAATAACGGCTGGTACAGAGAGAAATAAACAGGGTGGCAAGTCCTGTGCTGGGAGATAATATATGGAAATAGCCCAGGAAATTAAAGTTGGACTGCAGCGGGTGGAGAGATGATTCAGCGGACAGGGGGGAGGCAGGGGACGCAGGAGCAGACTGGGAGAGGGGTCCCGGGGGGTCTGGCTGTGAGTACTGTGTGCCGGGGGTGGGAAGGGTGCTGCCTGCACTCCCCAGAAGCCGTCCGTCAGCAAGAGGCTCCCAACAGGACCCGTCTGCCCATGGAAAACAGGATTTGTCTGCCAGGATGGATCTGATTCTTGCCCCTGAATTTCCACCTTGCCCCCCGTCCCATTCCCTTCGCAGCTGATTACGTGAAAACCTGGCTTTGCTTTCGGCAGGGGCGCCCTGGGGGCTTTGGAAATTTCTTTTCTTTG